TATATATATATATATTACATTTATTCAAATATCTCTGAAGATGTTCGACAGCACTTTGGCTTGAGCCTGTGAAACCAATTCTCTGTTGAAATAGAAATAATTTCATTTGCTATTAAAAAATATCGATTCCTATTTTTGTGGGCTGAGATATTAACATTTATTATTATTATTTTATTATTAAGGATTTGGAAACTGGCTTTCTAAGAGTGACCGCAAAAAAGCCATTTTTCCGCCCGTTTTTGAGACTTTGACAGAGGCAACAGGAAAAATCCTAGTTTTTATATGTCAGTGTCATTAGTAATTTGCTTGGTAATTCAAGATGCAGCTTTTAACGGAACCAGAGAAATAGTGAGAGCTATAACTTTACTTCAGAATGATTGATCATTGCGGATGATCTGCATGTATGCAAGAACAGCATACTTAAACTCAAAGTAAAATGGATTGTGGAGGGTCACGTACGTTATGTTCACGGAGGTGGGCGTCAAAAAGTAAGCGCCACCTAATAATAAATTCTTTTGACATGGCATTAACGGCGTCCTTTGAGATGAATTTCCCTGGATCAGTGTGAACTGCAAGGAAGCGGGTGAAAGATTCGGAGCTCAAGAATTATGTGGCCGCAAATACAGTTGCTTTGACTCCCCAGTATAAATAACAGAGTTAGAGTTTGCAAGACAATTTGTAGGAAGCCCAGACAACTTCTATAGTTCTGTCCGTGTCTACCCACCAGAGATTATAAGGTATTATTATTAAGCCTTATGTGAAACCCACACAGCGCAACGGAAGATTCTCCATTAACGTTTGGGCTTGGATAAGTTGCCAAGGTCCTGGTGTTTGTTGGAGGATAGAAGAGCGCCTCAATGGACTGAGCTATGTGCGCATAATGGAAAAAGTTATGGTGCCATCCATGACCACGCTGTATCCTCAGAATTTCACTTTCCAGCAGGATAATTGTGCAATTCACACATCAAGATGTTTTACCTTGGCCTCAAAGTCCACTGTCCTCACTCCTATCGAGAACGTCTGGGGATATATGGTGAAAAAAAATTACGACAGAAACTTCCGTCCAGCTAACGTCGAAGAATTTTGGAAGGTAATTGAAAATGCATGGGATAACATCACTGATGAGGATTATACAAGAACATTAATTTTATCAATGCCATGTACATTGCAAAGTGTTACAGACAAAAATGGTGCTTGGACAAAATACTAACTTTACGAATCGCATTTTTCTGACTATGAAAAGTGTTTCATTTTTAGATCTCGTTGATGGCGAATGAATGGCCGTTAGAATGTATAATATATTTATGTATTAGAAAAATAAATAATTTGCTAGCTAATTTGGATTTGTTTTGCTCACTAGAACTAGTATGATAGACACACATTAAATTTGACATAATGACAGCTGATTTGAACCTCACATTTTCAAGTCGGCTTCACAAAGGCCAATTATAGACAATTTGCTTATAAGAGTCGTCCACTTTCAAAGGGCCGGCACTGTACATACATGAAACAAGTTCCTTGTTGAAGTAGATCATAATTCTGATGTTTCGGTACAAAATGAATCAATTCATCTTTCTGAGAGCCTAGATATTAATATTTTTTATGGTGGTTGGTAATCCACCTTCACAGATCTTGTGAGTCGGAACAATAGAAAATGAAATTTATTTATACTAGGTGTTCGGGAATAGCGAAAACCACTTGTTGAGTGTGGTACGCAGCAGGAGATACTAAATCGTTAGGCGAGAGCAGTTGGACTTACCCCTGGTTTCCTCTGGACCGTACCTCGTTCATAGGAAGTTTAGGCTAGATTTGGTATCTACAGCCTCGTGTCCTGCAGTCAGCTACACACAGAAATAACCACCTTTGAAAGCATAGCGTCTGCTACCACAAATTAAACTACCTTTTAGCAGCGTTTCACATGCAGTCTGGTTGATTACTTGTTTGCGACTAACTCTCTATACAGTTTGAGAATTAGGAGGAAGCGGTAACTAGTCTCCCCACCTTCGCCTTATAAGTGCGCGAATTTTCAAAAAATAAAAAAACAAATAACTAACCCGAACA